CCTTTGGACCACCCTCGGAGGCGGCTGCCCCCCCCCCGCGCAGCCTCCCTACCGGAGCGGCCTCAAGAGCCCCCTTCGCCCCCCTCAAGACGCTGGTTCCCGCTCTCCTCGCGGGTCCCTCTGCTCCTGGGACACCTGCCCGTGTCTGCGTCCGCCAGCGCCTTTGCTCAGGGCACAGCTCCCATCAAGCCCAGTCCTTCCCTGCCTTATTCCTTCATTGCCACCTGCATGTTTAGTCTTTGTCGCAGGAATTCCTGTTGCTGGTTAGTTTAGTCCGTCAAGTCGACATGGGCACTGGCAGCAGCCGTGAGCATGGCTTTAGAAGAGACGCAGTGGGCTCTCCAGCTGTTTAAATGGTTCAGTGCAACCTGGTCACAGCCCCAGGCTCTGCCCCATTGCCCCCACATGGACTTAAGCAAATCCTGAGGTTGGTGCCTCCTCTTTGGCCTCCCCAAAAGATGCTCAGGGCTGAGGTCCCCAACGGCAGGCTCTTCTCAGAGACCTTGTACATAGAGGTCCATCTGCACCAAGATAAACCCTTTCTCGTTCCCTGGCTCTCTAAAGCCCAGCGAAACACACACCACGACAGTCAAACATGGGCCCTGCTCTAAATCCATCAAACATTAAGTTTTAGCATTTGAACCTTCTGCTCCATCTGCTAAATATGTACCAAAGGAAGATTTTCTCTGAGACCTCCTCCCCGCCATCAGAGCACCAACCTGCCGCGATCAGACAGCAGAGCAAGCCAAGTCTGATTTCTCTTTCTGTAGCTGAATCCCCCAGCAAAATCCCCGCAGCAGAGCCACCTTTGGCTCGAGATACTTCTCCCAAAGCCCAGATAACCTCAAAACCAAACCTGAAGCTGTCTTCCAGGTGGAGGTGTCATCAGTAAATACTCATTTCGTGTCAGTTCTTGTGCTGGATCAAGCATGGAGGTAGGGAGACCTCCTGCACGGATGATTCACAGCGGCTCAGCGTGCCTGGGCCCTGTTCTTCCTCCAGCCCCACAAGAGGTGCTTCTCCATCTTATAAAACCACTGGAAGGAAAGCAGCTTGAGCCAACACCGGGCATGGTCCTGGCCATGCCCACCTGGCAGTGAGCTCTAAACACCCCAAGCTCCTACCGCCTTCTTGCTCTGCCATGTCCCTGTGTCTTGGACACCTGCAGAGGGGCTGCCCCCTTGCCCAGGGAAAAAGAGGTCTCAAATGCAATTGCCACCACAGTAACTTTAACCCTTTCTGTAGCCCCAGGTTAATATCAAGTAAGCTGGACTTAGCATTAGTCCAGGAGGAGAGGATAACACGGTTTGAGGAAAAGAATTTTCCCCTTGGCATACAATAACTCAGAAATACATAAAAGAATGCTGATTTTTCCCCCATACTCTACACTGTTTTCCTACTGGAAAATGGGATTTTTGGTGGCTCTGTTAAACCCCATGTAAAACAAAGTCATCTATCAGATTGATTGTGTAATTCCTAAATTCCACAGCTCAGGGGCAGCTTTAGGAGACAAAGGAAGAGCTCCGGGAGCCCCAGGCAGCGTTCGCTACAGAGAGGCAAGGCAGGGAGTGTCTCTTGCTGCAGAGACCGGTTCCGAGTCCAGCAGAGCCCTGGGTTCAAGGCACTGCTGTAAAACCAGGAAACTTGGACTGTTCACAGTCCAACTCCTGGAGCAAGGTGGTGTTTGTCAAGCTGCAGTCAGAGCTTACCTCACAGTGTCCTCCTTCCATCCTAGTTTGTAGCCCAGCTGCTGGGTTTCCTGATCAGTGTGGTCAGCTCCATATTCTGTGGCCATCTGGGGAAAGCTGAGCTGGATGCTGTGACGCTGGCTGTGTCTGTAAGTATTGCTTTTTCTTCTCTCATGTAAAGCATACAAATTGTGGGTCTCCTTAAAAAGACAAAGAAAAACCCTGGAGGAATTCTTCCCCAAGAACCGCCGTGTCTAAGCACACCGATGCAGCGCACCTACCAAATTGCTTTTGCCCCGAGGACAGGCAGGAGGTACAAGACTGAGCAGTACCCGGTAGTGTCAGTGCAAGGCCAGCACCTGGGCAGGCAGCTTGAGTCTGTGACCCAGCTCTCTGGACCTGCCAGGCCCAGGCACGCTCCTGTGGCTAGAAATAGCACTGCTAGTGACCCTTTAGGTATTTGGCCTTTGTTGGAGGATCTTTTATCTTTTCTCACAGTATAAGAGGAAAGAGGCTGTTTGGATAACATTTGTGTGTTATTCTGAGAACAGGAGACAGTCTGGAGACTTCCCAGAAACTCACAGCAGAAACGTCTCCCCACCCAGCTGGGAGACACACAGCACTTTGGGCCAGCTCCCCTGTGACCCTCCCTACAGACCGAGTTCTCTCTCCCCTCCAGGTTATCAACGTGACGGGCATCTCCATTGGTTCTGGTTTAGCCTCAGCATGCGACACGCTGATGTCCCAGGTCAGTAGCTGCTCCCCGCTCTGTGCTTTGGGAGGACTCAGTTTGGTGCTGCCCCGGATCCTGTGTGGGACAATACGGGCACAGAGGGCAGGAGGCCGACAGCTTCCAGCCAGCCTGGGGCTCCGAACGTGCTATCCGGAGCCTGCTCCCTCCGTGCGGGACAGGAGGGGCACAGATGAGGAAGAGATGGGGCTGACCCCTCGCCTTAACTCTCACCTTGGTGCTGTCTCTCCACTCAGACCTATGGCGGCAAGAACCTGAAGCAGGTGGGCACTATCCTGCAGCGGGGGATCCTTATCTTGCTGCTGTGCTGCTTCCCGTGCTGGGCAATCTTCATCAACACTGAGCGCATCCTCCTGCTCATCCGACAGGACCCCGAGGTCTCCAGGTCGGGAGTAATATCAAGTCTGGCCCCTCTCTGGTCTGCAGCGTGTCAGGCGTCAGCCCTCCAGGGTGGGGATGGGCCTTTCCAAGGGCTCTGGCTGGGGATGAACTCTGGGATCTCGCTTGCTGACAAGGCCATCAGAAACCAAGATTATGGATCTAGGGTCCCCTGAACCTTCTCTGGAACCTTTAAGGTCCCCAGGCCTTGGAACTGAGGCACTGCTGGGGCCTCTATGTCCTTTGTAGCAACCTTGCTTGGTTTGGCTGTTGCTTTCCTGTGTCATTAACTGGGGCAACAACTCTCTTTCCAGGTTAACACAGGTCTATGTGATGATCTTTATCCCAGCTCTTCCAGTAAGTTGCTGCTAAAGCTCTCAAGTCCTGTAACCCTCAGTAATGTTTGGGGGAAAGAGGGAGGGTCTTTACTCTGTGGATCGCAGGACTGTGTGATTTAGGGTTTTACAACAGGTTGCTTGATCTTAGGCCTTAACAGAGGTGCACTGGTCATGGCTGTTGGACTAGCAAACATGCAGTCTTCCATCTCACTGTGCAAAGGCTTTTCCTGAAGCCCCATCTCTGCACAATAAGTAACTGCCTACAGATTTTGGAAGCAGGGGCTTCACATCTGGCTCCTAGCTGAGAGATAAAGGCTGCAGATTGCTATGAGCACACACTCACAGTGCCAGGTTTTTGCCTAGTTGCGCTGTCTCTTTGAAGAGACTCCCCTGGGAGAGGGAGCAGTTTCCGTAGAAAACAATGGCTGTGAGTTATCGCTTTCCTCCAAGATTTGCAGACTCTCTCATGCTAATGGAGAAGCTTGGGAGATCTGCAGTTTGGAGACCAATCTCTCATCCTGGTGAGAACAGAGAGGGTTAGTGCCCAGCAAAGGTGGGGATGGTGCCACTCTGCAAGGTCAAGATTCTCCTCAGGGCCCAGCAAGGGAAGCTGCTTTATGCTTTGCCTTTTGATACTCTGAGCTTGGCGTGCAGCAGTGTCACCCAGCTTAAAACAGCCACAAGACCCACGTGTCGTTGCAACATGCCTGGCTGTGGCATCCTGGCAGGGCAGCAGGAGGAAGTGAGGAAGGGATTTATCCATGAGTGTTAAATTGTAGCTGGCTGTTGAACCACAGCGGCACCGGGTTCTTCTCTTGTGCGGGGCGGTGGGGAGGGCTTCGGACTCCCACGTGGCAGCGCTGATGAATTGAATCCTCCTTCTTTCAGGCGGCATTTCTGTACCAGCTGCAGACAAGATATTTGCAAAGTCAGGTACTGTGTAACTAACTAGGCCCCGGGCCACAGATTATAGGTATTCCTGGGAACGCAGATAAGGGTGGTGATCTAAGTTCACCCTGTCCGAGGGAGCACTGGGCTGAGATACATCTGATCTTTAGTCTTCAGCCAGCCCTGCCGAGCAGGAAGAAGCCTTGGGACTAGTCTTGCTACAGTCTCCCCTTTGCTACCTCCCACTTCTCTGCTCTTGAGCCCCACATGCTGCTTCCCTCCCTCACAGGAGTCATGCTTTTGCCATGCTGCTTTTGGATAACAGCAAGGGTTGGTGGTGGCTGTGGGTCTGGGCAGTGCTGGGAAGGAAAACTCCAAGGTGTGTCTTTGGCTTCCAGGCGATCATTTTGCCCCAGGTGATCACGGGCATGGCAGCCAACATCCTCAACGTGGCCATGAACGCCATCTTCCTGTACGCGCTGAAGCTGGGCATGGTGTAAGTGTGGGCAGAGGTGGTGGCAGCATCTCCCTCAGTGAAGGGGTTTGCTCGGGCTGTGGGGGTGCCTTGGGTGCCTGGTTCTGCTCCAGACAGCCTGGAAAGAGAAGGCTGGGGGAAGACCCGCATGCAAGTGCAGACCCAGTTCATGCCCAATGGGCAGCAAAGCCTCGTGCATCTGCCTCTCTCCCACAGCTGCCACAGAGCTCCCATGGGTGCCACCAGTCTGTTTTGGAGGAATTGAGGTTGGGAAGGATGCTGTTTGTAACCTGTGCATGTTTTTCCTCAGAGGATCTGCCTGGGCCAACACCATTTCTCAGTACACACAGGCCATTCTTCTCTTCCTTTATGTGCGGTGGAAGAAGATCCATGTGGAGACCTGGGGAGGTACTGTTCATGCTTTGTTCATTTAAAACACTGCTGTCTGCTACGGGGGATTTGGCAGTGTCACTAGGACGCAGGCTATAGGCCTGATAGAGGGATTATAATCCCTTCAGAGCACAAGAGACTAGGCTGAGCCCAAGCCCATGACTGTACGCCCAAGTGCTTTCTCTTTGCCTTGGTTCAGGAACATGCTGCCATATAGGAAGCCTGGACTGATGTCCTGGGAGATGCAGCTTGTGGTCCTTGTATGGAGAGAGTGCCCAGAAGATCATGTGTCTCCCCCATGCTGGGGGAGAGTGCGTTCATGCTGCTTCACCTCTTCCTTGCAGGCTGGAGCATGGACTGCCTCCAGGAGTGGGGTTCCTTTATCCGTCTGGCTGTGCCCAGTATGCTCATGATGTGTATTGAGTGGTGGACCTTTGAGATCGGGAGCTTCCTGGCAGGTGAGTCCAAACTCTTCCTTCCCCTGACTCAACAGGGCATCTTCCACTCGTACCTGCCTTCGTGCTGCCTCTCTGCTGCCCCCGCAAAGCACCTCCTGCCAGCACTCGCACACGGGGCTGGTTCACCCATTAGATGGGAGCCCTGTAGCTGCTGCCTCCTCGCCATCAAAGGAGTTTTCATTCCAATATAACAAAGGAGATGCTCAATGTCTTCCAGGGCTGCTCAGCGTGGTGGAGCTGGGCGCGCAGTCTGTGATCTACGAGCTCTCCTGCGCGGCCTACATGGTAAGGGCTGCGTGTGCACGCGGGGCTGGCTAAGGAGGGCAACGAGGTGGGAAGCAGAGCAGGGTACCAGGCTGGCGGTGCCTGACCCGCTGTTGGGAGGTGCCTGCTGCGTGGAACCCCTCGCTGCAGCCTGCAGACCCCTGCCCAGAGGAGACCCACGCTGTGCTCACGTTAGCATTGCTCGGTTCCTGGGTATGGCAAGTACATTCTTTACGCTTCTCTGATGCATCCAAAAAGACGTTATGCCCATGGTGCAGAAAGTAGCCTGGGACTGGGTGTCAGTGGCAACACTTTGTCCCTAATGCTCTACCTGGGAAGAGACAAACTGTTGCAGTCTCTGCTGCCACTCACCTCCTCCTCGTCTCCTGCTCCTCAGGTGCCGCTGGGCTTCAGCGTGGCCACGAGCGTCCGAGTGGGCAATGCCTTGGGATCAGGGGATGCGGTGCAAGCCAAGACCTCCTGCATCACTGCTCTGCTGTGCTCAGGTCAGCCCAGGCCCCAGTGGAGGGCAATAAAGGGTAGTTAGGTAGTTTGCAGTGTTTGTAGTTAGTTAGTTAGCAGAGCAAAGCTGTTTGACTATTTCTTTCTCTTTCAGGGGTGTTTGCTGTAGTGGTTGCAACATTACTGGGAGTCCTGAAGGATACTGTGGGCTACATCTTCACCAGTGACAAGTGAGTTGACTGCTTTCTTTTAAGTATAATTACTGTCTTGGTGGGCCCGATGTGCAATGTCCTACGAACAGCCCATAGGTGGAGTTCATTAACTCCCACCAGGCAAACGTTCCTCCCCTCTGCCTTGTGTCACACGGATGCCCCTGATTCTGGGACAACACTGTGGCAGAGCACAAACACATGTGCTTCCAGCAGCAGGTCCAGCAGGCCAGGATGAAGCTTTCCCAGCTGGCCAAGGTGTGCGAACCCCGACCCTACCTTCCCTGAGCAGCACATACATTTTCCCAACAGGGAGATCGTTACCTTGGTGTCCAAAGTGATGATGATCTTTGCTCCGTTCCACTTGTTCGATGCCGCAGCAGTGAGTATTCCAGGGCGTGGAGCAATTCCTCTCTGCAGGCCGTGGTGTCAGGGAGAGGGCAGAGCTATCTTTTGCTCTTAATCTCTTACAATGATACAGAGAAGCACCCTGAGAAACTGCCAAAGCAGTTGCTTGCATTAGTTATAACTTCATCTTCAACATCCCCCTGTGCTTGTAGCTTGTGCCATACCCTGAGCTCCTCTAGTGGTACCAGCCAGACTAAACGCTGTCCCGCATAGTGATTCCTCTGCCTCCTTAGGCGACGTGTGGCGGCGTGCTGAGGGGCGCAGGGAAGCAGAAGCTGGGTGCCATCGCCAACGCTATCGGCTATTACGCCATCGGCCTGCCCATCGGCATCTCGCTGATGTTTGCGGCTAAGATGGGGGTGCTGGGTAAGTTTGTTCTCTGTTTGGTGTTGGGGATCAAGCTGTGGGTGAGTTGCCAGCACTGCTCCTGTTGGGTCAAACCCCATGTTCTCTCAGATCAAGACTGGCTTAGCCTGAGCAAAGTTCTGACACCACCAAAATCCTTGGGCAAGAGCAGGGTTTCAACCTCTCCTTGCTGAAATAACTCTCCCTTGTTGCAGGTCTCTGGGTGGGGATGATCATTTGTATATCTTTGCAAGCCCTTTCCTTCTCAACCTTTGTCATGCGCATGGACTGGAAGAAAGCTGCAGAAGAGGTAAGGCTGGTGCTTCCCTCAGCTCTTAGAAGGCTTTAGGCCAGTTCCTGTCTCACTGCAAGGTTACAGCCCTGCAGCCATTTGTGGGTAGAGAGGCGCAAAACAAGCCCTGTCCCTCTGCTCTAGCACAGTGAGGATTTGGTGCTGAGCATGCTTGCTTTGGGAAGGTCCAGGAAGGAGACAGAGGCTTGCTTGGTTGGGCAGAACATCCCTACTCCACAGAGAGCAACTCTTTTGTGTGTTTTCAGGCTCAAATCCGAGCTGGACTGAAAAAACAACTGGAAGATGTGAACTCCAATGGCACAGCTGCTAACAAAACATCTGCTCTGGGTACGTAACCAGGTCTGATAACAGGGAGGGAGCCCAAGTTCTCCACCCAGGCCCTGCTTTCCCTCACAGCTCTGTCCTGCTGGCCCAGGCAGCTGGGAAGGGCACAGTGTGTGCTGCTGGTCCCAGCCTAGTGGCACTTCTGCTGCCTTCAGTAACGGGCACAAGATATTTGTTCCCTGTTGCTACCTGGGCTGTTCCAGGGAAGAGCCAGCGCTGCTGCTGTTTGTGTTAGCAGGGGATACCTGCCCCTCGGCTGCTGCATTTCCCGGTGTCCTTGAGCCTTGGGAGATACTGTCACTAGTCCTTATGCAGTAACAGGCTGGGAGCTCCTGGCTTGGCAGCTTGACTTCTCCAAGATGCTCATCTCTCTGTTGCACAGATTACGTCCCTGTCGATGCCAACGCTGTGGACACCGTGGTCTTGCCTGACAACATCGTGGTTGCTGAGAAGCAGCCCGATCACCAGCTCGTGGTGCAGGAGGCGCCGGCCGCTCCTGCGCCGGGGAGAGCCCTCATCCTCCGCCGGCTGCTGGTGGCTGCTGCGGCCGTCGCTGTCCTGCTCACGGGCTTGCTGATCCGGCTCCTGACCGGCAACTGATAGAGATGGCGTGGGCACAGCCCCGGGAACCCGTGGCTGCACGGAGCAGGGAGGTGCAGGGTCCTGTCCTAGGAGGATGACAACCAGGGGAGGAATTTCCTCCTCAGTAGCTTGTTAAGAGTCACTTCACTTGATTTCTGGTTAAGTCAAAACGTCTTATACCCCATGCTCGGTTCCTCAAGGAGACAAGTGTGTCCCGCTCCTCCAGGAAGCAAGTGTGTGAGAGCCTGTCCCCTCTCCAGCACTGCGCTGGGGATGTCACTTGTGATGCAGCTGAAGTGTGTCTAAAGCTAGCCAGGGAAGGAGATGGGCCCTGTGCTGCCCTCCTCCTGCTTTCCAGCTCCAGCGAGCGCTTGACCGTGTGCTTTGGCTAGAGCAGAGGCTCATGCTGCCCACAAAGCACCTTCTCTCACGGAGCCGCCCTGCCTGGGTCTCGGCAGGTCTGAGCCCACTTGCTCGGCTACAACAGCGCACCGTGGTGCAAGGCCCTTTTGCTAGGAAAGGGCTGACTCCCACCAAGGCATTGGTGCTGGCTCCTGGCCCTAAATGCAGGCGCAGAGCCTAGAGCAACTCTTCTTTGCACTTTTGTAACCTGGGATTTTGATACAATAAAGTTTTCTGAGTAAACCTTGTGTAGTTAATGGGCTGTGAGCGTGGCCCCGGTCACTGCCAAGCTCGTGGCAGGGAGACGTGCACTTGGTTTCTAGCACAAGCCTCAGGTGAGTGGGTCTGTGCACAGGGACCAGCTTTCACAGGCAAATAGCCTCAAATGCAGGTCTTGGTGCCCAACACGGGCACCCGAGCCTGGCTGCACCCAGCTCTCCTTGCACACAAGCAGCGCTCCCGCACCTTGGCTGCTCCCACCCCCTCGCTGAACCCCACGGGAAATGCTTTGATGCGGATGAAGCGCTTCCCCGGAGCAAAGTCTGCGCGTGGGGACAGCTGCCAGCGAAATGCCTTGCATCTTAATGCCAGTGTCCCCTGGCATCACCGGCATCCACGAGCAGCCCTAGGGCTCGCGGGACAGGGTGCCTACGG